TGTCCATCAGTGCACTTGGCACCAGGACACCCTAGGCCGGAGGTCAATGATCGACTTTGTAGTTGTGTCATCTGACATCCGTCCGTATGCATTGGACACAAGGGTCGTGGTGAAGAAGGAGCTGAGCCGAAAGGCGAAGCTCTTGATTTACCCGTCAATCTACGTTCCTACCCTCTAGACTCTTCTAAGCCATCTTTTGGGGAAATGCGGGCATTGCAGGTGAAAAAGGCAGATGTATAATGAAAATAGGAATTAATAACATAATTTGAACAAGTTTGGTGGGCCCGATTAAAAAGACAAACGGGCTGCATATGGCCCCCGGGCCGTAGTTTGCCCAGGCCTGAGCTACACAATAGTATTGGCAAAAGCATACTAAGACAAACTGTGACTTCTGAGATTTTCGATTAATAACTCTGTTTAATAACTGTTTTTAATTTTGATTTTTTTTTTTCAGGTTGTATGTATGAAGGAAAGGAACACACAGAGGGCAGCAGCTGGTTCACAGACTCCACCCTCTGCATGAGATGCATGTGTGTCGATGGTGTGACCACATGCTCTGAGGTTCATTGTCTTTCTCCTTGTACCAATTTCATCACTGTTCCCGGGGAGTGCTGCCCTGTGTGTGCAGGTGAGCAGATAATAATGTCAACATGTGTCTGTTTCTCATTCTTTTTAAATCAACTGACACATTTGTTTTTTTGTTTTGTTTTTTTGGAGCAGATTGTGTATTTGAGGGCAGAGTGTACAGCCCTGGAGACAGTTTTCATCCGGTGGATGACCCTTGTCAAATCTGCACTTGTGAGGTATAATAAATCACACATCGCAGTTTTTAAATCGCTATATATATATATATGATATGATGTGTGATATCTTTTGTCAATGTAATCCCTTCTACACCTCAGGTGATGCCAGATGGAGAACAACACCTGCGATGTTTACGAAAGCAGTGTCCCAGTCTGGTCAACTGCCCGAAAAGCAACATCATTTTCTCTGGACCTGACTCCTGCTGCCCAGTCTGTGCACGTCAGTAGACAGTACCTGATATTCTGTGAATGTTATCATGTACGGTGGGGCTGTACAAGTTACGAGTAAGCAACATTTTGCAAGATCTTCCTAGTGATACGATCGAAACATTGAGTTACGAATGCTCAGCTAATGATTTTTTTCTACTCGACACTGTCGCGCTCTCTCGCTCACTGTCCCTCGCTTGGTCATTTTACCTGTCGCTTTGTTTCTCTCTTTCCAGTTCTCTCTCTCTCTCTCTCTCTATATATATATATAAAGTATTTTATATTTTAATATATTTGTTTATATCTGTTTTTGATGATAGGGGTTGGGTGTGATTTTAATATAATCAATAGTATAGTATTTCTGGGGGACTGGAACGAATGATTGGTTTTTTTAGTTATTTTTAATGGGGAAAATGCAATCCACCTTATACGAGTGCTGCTGTGGAACCGATTAAACTCGTATCTCGAATGCCCCCACTGTACTGCGCTCTTCAGGTTTTTCGTTTTCTATAACGTGTATGTGACACATTTTGTCCGTGTTTAGAGCCGCTGAGTAACTGCACCGCCGCCCTGATAGGCAACGAGGTTTTGGCCACGGACGACCCTTGTTTCACCTGCCACTGTCAGGTACAGGTCTAACTCTAACACTCACACTGACTATTTCATTTTTATAACATTTAGATTGATCCGAGCTGATACAGAAGCAACATATTTCGGTTTGACACATTGTAGTAGTGCAGTAAAATTCCATCCTGAATACCTCTTCTTGTTGCGTCTTTTATTTTTACTCTTCTATTTTGCATCTGCTAAGCTTAATTCTTTTTCTCTCTGTCGCCCGTCCTCTGCCTTCCCCCTTAATCACTTCCATTTGGTCTTTTTTCTCTCACCGTGGATTACGGTTTCATCTTTGAAAACTGTGACGTTCAAGATTCTTCTGTCTGTCCTTTTGTAAAATTGTCCACCATCATTAAAAAAAACATACAGAATAATGTAGTTTAAGTGAACTGTAGTGTTGATGTTTTGCTACTTTTCTTTCTTTCAGGACCTTACGTGGACGTGCATGCAACATATGTGCCTCCCACTTACTTGTCCTGTTAATGAACAGTTTATGCCTCCAGATTCGTGCTGCCCTGTATGTAAAGGTATGATAAAGAATATTTTTAAAATCATTTTTTAAGTTCCTGGATCTTCACATATAAAGTCTCTAGTCTTGTTTTTTGCTGTTTTTATTTATTTATTTATTTTTGCAGACTGTGTTATTGAGGGTCAGGGTAAAGTGATCAATGGCAGCAGCTGGACAGACAGTGATGATAACTGCATCACTTGCTCATGTATAGTGAGTACCAACCTCTCTTTCTCCCACACCAGCAAGTCTCAAGTCTTTGCACTCAAGTCCGAATCAAGTCTCAAGTCAAAATAGGCAAAGTCCGAGTCCAATCCAAGTCAAGACTGAAAAGTGTCAAGTCAAGTCCCAAGTCCTGCCGTTTCTGTTTCGAGTCCTTCCACTCACTGCCACTCGTTTTTTTGTTGACCATATCGTAGTTTTTAAATCCGAACAACACGATCTTTGGTATCATTTTCTCTAATCCGCGCATTGTTCGACAGCTCTTTCTCATTGGTTGTCCCGCAATTTGATTGGCGCGATATTATCGCTTCAAAACAACGTGGGTCTAATTTGATTGTTGTTGTGCCGACAGCACAACATATATATGCATATATATATGTATATTATATGTATGTATATACTGTATATATGTACATATACATATATACAGTATATAGAATTATCATACCAGGAACAGTAATAGAACATTTTGTAGAACATGAGCAGAGAGTTTTGCTCTGTCCCCGTTACATTGCCCCATTACGACATTATTCCAAACTGAAAGGTATCACATTTGAATTAATCAGACTTGATACAGCTGTATATTTCCTTTTAAAGTTTTACTCACAGAATCATCTGAACTCTGACGACTCAGGAGAGCGCTGCAGCGACTCAAACTAGAGCATCTTTCTCATCTTTCCTCAGCTGGGCCACATTGAATGCAGCATTGAAGAGTGTTTGACTGTTGTTTGTCTGGATGGCCAGAAGGAAGTCAAGCCTACGGGGAAATGTTGCCCCGAATGCAAAGGTAACGCCACCACATCGTTAACGCCCCCATTGTTGTTATGCGTATTCTGTGATTCAGTTTGAAAACTTTGTGTGTTTTTTGTGCACTGCAGATTCAGGGCTGTCATGTTTGCACCAGGGAACAGTGTACTACGGTAACGAGCAGTGGAAGGTGGATGAGTGCACCAGTTGCAAATGCGTGTCTGGAGACATACACTGTGACACTGACCGTTGCCCATCCTTAACTTGTGCAGTGGTCAGTATAACAACTACCAGAGATGTGGACTCGAGTCTCATGACTTGGACTCGAGTCAGACTCGAGTCATCAATTTGATGACTTTAGACTCGACTTGACAAAAATGTAAAGAGACTTGCAACTCGACTTGGACTTTAACATCAATGACTCGTGACTTCACTAGAACTTGGGCCCTTTGACTCGACAAGACTTGATACTTTCTCCAAAACCCAAAGTGATCTGTGTAAATATATTATTATTTTATTTAAAAGGGCTCGAAACAGAAACGGCAGGACTTGGGACTTGACTTGACGCTTTTCAGTTCTGACTTGGACTCGACTCGGACTTCGCCTGTCTTGACTTGAGACTTGACTCGGACTTCGCCTGTCTTGACTTGAGATTTGACTCGGACTTCGCCTGTCTTGACTTGAGACTTGACTCGGACTTCGCCTGTCTTGACTTGAGACTTGACTCGGACTTTGCCTGTCTTGACTTGAGACTTGACTCGGACTTTGCCTGTCTTGACTTGAGACTTGACACGGACTTGAGTGCAAAGACTTGAGACTTACTTGTGACTTGCAAAGCAATGACTTGGTCCCACCTTTGTTTTGTCAAACGTTCTCCTAGCGTACTTTGTCTCTTATGTTAACCCTCTGTGTGTGTGTGTGTGTGTGTGTGTGTGTGTGTGTGTGTTATATAGGGTGATATCCCAGCTGTTGTCCCAGGCTTGTGTTGTCCTCACTGCATTCCAAGTCCGGCTACCTGCATTGCTTTTGGCGATCCTCATTACCGCACCTTCGATGGCCGCATGCTTCACTTTCAAGGAGCATGCACATATGTCTTGGCACAGGACTGCAATGGTGGAGACTTCAGGTGAGATGATTACCAATCATACCAATTGTTTGCAGGAGTTTCCTAGGTGAGGACCTGTGACCCATACTAATGTCTTTGCAAATTCTATGTAGGCTACGGGTAAGTAAAAAGCGTAAGTTGACATCGTTTGTGGCCCCAAATATTATTATGTAGAGGGAAAATGATCATGCATACCTAATTTACATTTGAATGTGCTCGGGATGATTTGCTTTTACAGTACATGTTATCATAACTGATGTAGATTACCCCTGTGGCCTCACAAATAAGGATAGTGCAACCACTGAAATCATTTGGGGAAAACACTATTATTTTACGTTTACTTTTGTTAAACAAGTGCGTGTTTTTTTTACAGTTACTATATAAATATATAAATATATAAATATATAAATATATAAATATATAAATATATAAATATATAAATATATAAATATATAAATATATATACTACTGTACACATATACAATAAATAAATCAGAAATACATTGTTAAATGTACGCCACACCCTACTTCACTTTCAATTGTGTATATGATATGATGTGATTTGAAAGAAAAAAATATTGAAAGGCAGTGAAATATATTTTACTGCCTTTTTACTATCTGTATTGGACAGACAGATAGCAGCCTTTGAACCCAGGTGTAAACGCACTTGTTTACTTTTGTTAAACAAGTGCGTTTTTTTTTACAGTTACTATATAAATATATAAATATATAAATATATATACTACTGTACACATATACAATAAATAAATCAGAAATACATTGTTAAATGTACGTCACGCCCTACTTCACTTTCAGTTGTGTAGATGATATGATGTGATTTGAGATAAAAAAAATATTGAAAGACAGTGAAATATATTTCACTGCCTTTTTACTATCTGTATTGGACAGACACATAGCGGCCTGAACTGAAACACTCACATGCTGTCTTTCATTAAATAAGGAAAAAAAGTCATATTATTTATATTTTGTTTTTCACTTTTGTACGAACCAGTGTTCACGTAACTAACGATGATCGTGGACGTGAAGGAGTTTCCTGGACCAAAGAGGTGATTGTGTTTATTGCACACATCGCAGTGCAGCTACTCCAGGAGTCCGTTGTGAAGGTTTGTTTTCAAATGACTCGACGATGTTATGGTTGTCTCTATGTTGTTCGTAATACAATATTTCACTTTTTTTTTTTTGTTTCACCTTCAGGTTGATGATAGAGTTGTGAGCCTTCCATACCTTAATGAACCGTACATCTACATTGAACAACAGGCTAACGCCATCTTACTTAACACTAACATTGGCCTCAAGGTACAGTTCATTATTTCTGTGTTGTGTTTTCAACATTTTAGTCAGATCTGTTATCAACACTCGAACCAAATTAGTTACCTTGTGTTTTTTTTTGTTTGTTTGTTGTTGTTTTTTTGAGGACACATTATTAATTAATACTTAAAGTTAAAGCAATTTTGTTTGTTTGTTGTTGTTTTTTTGAGGACACATTAATAATTAATACTTAAAGTTAAAGCAACGGTTCTTAATTATTTTCTGTCATGCCCCCCCCCTTGAGGACAGAAATGTTTTTACGCCTCCCCCAACCCACCCCGGCAAATTGAAATTCTATTGAGAACCAGATAACATGTATATTTTCTTCTGTACAAACCACTGTATGAGTTGCTGCCACCTAGTGACTGGAGGCTTGTTATCATTCAACCATTACAGCAGTGGTACACTTATGTCCACCGTGCCATATTTCTTTGGTGCCAGTGGGGGCTCTTTCAAACTACAGTTAAAAAAAAAAAAACAACATTTAAAGTAGAGAAGTCAAGAAGAAAAGCTGAAGTAAAAAAGCATACTCTCAGTATCAAATTTGACTTTACTTATTTCATATAGCAACAATACTTGTCTCATGGTTTCGTTTACACCTAGTCTCACCGAGGTCTTGATGATTTTGTTTGTATCTCCATTCGTATCGTTCCAAATGAAGGTACAGTGGACCGGTCGTTCACACCTTAAGGTGAGCGTGCCAGGTTCCTACAAGGGTCAGACCTGCGGTCTTTGTGGAAACTTCAACAACTATCACCAAGACGACCTCCGAATGCCCAGTGGACACCTCAGCCTCTCCGAGTCTGACTTTGGCAACAGTTGGAGGGTAAAACATAGACACAGGGGGAAAGTGGCTAAACAAAAGGCATGCCATTGTCTAAAATATAAACATGTTTGGTTTTTTTTTTTTTTTTAGGTCACAAACGGCAGCCACTCACTCTTATCCTGCCGACCAGGCAAAGACCTCGATCCCTGTAAAGATGCAGGTTACCAGGCCAAGAAGGGGGCTAACGCTCGCTGCAAGGTCATAAAGTCCACTGTGTTTATGCCTTGTCATCACGTGGTAGCCCCTGAACCCTGGTTTGGAGCATGCGTGTATGATATGTGTGCCTGTGGGGCCAACAGTGATGAGTGTTTGTGCGACGCACTGGAGGCCTATGCCAGTCAGTGTAGAGACGCAGGAGTGGTTCTGCACTGGAGGAGTCGCTCGCTGTGTGGTAAGTCAAACATAAAGCCACAGTCCGTCCATCCATTTTCTTCCGCTTATCCATTACCGGGTCGTGGGGGCAGCAGTCTCCGTGACCGCCACCGAAATCACAGTGCACTGTAGTTAACCTTTAACCTGTGGTCCACTGGAAGCTATGTGATATGTGATAAAAACACATTGCTGAAGTATGTTATTGGCAGAGGTGTGGACTCGAGTCACATGACTTGGACTCGAGTCAGACTCGAGTCATCAATTTGACGACTTTAGACTCGACTTGACAAAATGTAAAGAGACTTGCAACTTGTCTTGGACTTTAACATCAATGACCCGTGACTTCACTTGGACTCGAGCCCTTTGACTCGACAAGACTTGATACTTTCTCCCAAAACCCAAAGTGATCTGTGTAAATATATTATTATTTTGTTTAAAAGGACTCGAAACGGAAACGGAAGGACTTGGGACTTGACTTGACACTTTTTAGTCTTGACTTGGACTCGACTCGGACTTTGCCTGTCTTGACTTGAGACTTGACTCGGACTTGAGTGCAAAGACTTGAGACTTACTTGTGACTTGCAAAGCAAGGACTTGGTCCCACCTCTGGTTATTGGTAATGTCAAATGTAGTTGATTTTAAGAACATTTTCCGAAACGGAAAGGGATGGATGTAACGATGCGTTGTGAATCCATTAAAAATCAATACTATAAATTTGCAGTATTTGACATAATAAATTATTTGCATCGAGACAGGATTAGGCTGCGTTATCTCAAAAAGTCAGTGGTCATATCATAACAGTGCACACTCTAGCACAGTAGGTGGCGCTATGCGCCTAAAAACGTTTGTCGTGACCCACTATTAAACCAAGATTTCAGGTCCAAGGAACTTGGGAAGAACTTCCCACAGACACAACGGTGTCTAACAGTGTTTTTAACCCTTTCATGCATGACGGTCACTACAGTGGACAGCTATTAAAATGTCATTTTCTATGATAAGAATAGGTTTTGATGGCAGTGTTGCGTATAAGCCTCTACAGCGGATTCTCAGGCGTCCACTGTAGTGACCGTCATGCATGAAAGGGATATAACAAAAGAAACTGTTTCCAATTTTTGTTTCTTTTGTGGTTTTGTTGTTTAATATATTGACAGTTAGCGAGGTAATAAAGACCAGACCACTGAGATAAATGGTGATGTGCAGTGTATCTGTAATATATATATATTTATATATATATTAAATCCATTACTATAACACATAATACACAATACACATACACAATGTTTCTTTTCTCCTTGTGTCTAATCCAGTGGTTGTCTCTTACAGCTGTGGGCTGTCCTGTGGAGAAGGGCTTTGTGTTCGACGAGTGTGGGCCGCCATGTCCTGTAACCTGTTTTAACGTCGACGTACCACTAGGGGTGATCGAGAACCACTGCTTCAAGCCCTGTGTCCCTGGCTGTCAATGTCCTGCTGGCCTGGTTCTACACAACAACTACTGTATACCGCGTGAAAAATGTCCCAAGATCATTTATAGCAAACACACATAACACTGAGAATGATCACTTTCAGAATACACGAAAGTGATCGGGTACAGTATATAGTTCCTTTCTGCCATCAGACTATTAGACTACCACTGATAACAGTAGAAGTAGAAGACTGTGTATTTATAAACTCTATTGAAGTATACTTAACTGTTCCTAAATATGTAGCACTGAATACTTACATTATACAGTACATAATTGGATATTTAGCAGTCCTTCTATATACGATTGATATTTAAATATTGATAGTTAAATAAGCTAAAACACTTAGTATAGTTAATTTGATAATTAATATGATAATATTTAAATTTGCCAAAAATGTTAGAAATAAGAACAATTATAACCTAAGCCTATGTATCAGAAAATCAGTCCTAATGTTAGAAATAAGAACAATTATAACCAAGCCTATGGATCAGAAAATCAGTCCTCTCAATAATAACCTCAGAAACAGATTAAAGCTAAAGCCCACGTACTGTATAACCTCCTGTGTTGTTTCACACTGGTAACTATGTAAATGGTTTATTTTCATTCTTTTCATCTCAGGTATCTTATTGTTAAGTTTTCGTATTTTTATAACTTTGAATCATTTACAAATAAACAAATGTCTGCTTAGTATTTCCACTATTGTTTATTTTGCCAAACGGGGAAAATGTATTATCAAGTCATCACTTCCAGAGAAAACAATGTCATATATATCAAACATATTATTTAACACACACTCATTATCTTATTAAATGTATGTGTACTTAAGTAAATGTGTGAATCGCCAAAAATGGCCATATTCACATATTTATAGGGATGTCTGATATTAACTTTTTGCTGCAATGTCCCCCCCTGGGGGACAGAGGTGTTTTCGCACCCCCCTCCCCCAAATTGAAATACTAATGAGCGCCTGATAATATTTATTTATTCATCTGTAAAAACTACTGTATTAGTTGCTGCCACCATCATTCTACATACAACCCCTTAATCATAAAAATAGATTCATAAAATGATTTGCAATTCTGCCATCTAGTGACTTTCACTTCATACAGCCGTTATTCCCAAATACTATTTTTCGGGCACACATCATTTGACCAAAAACCAGGCATTGCATTATAGGGTTGCTATTATTGGAGGAAAAGCCAATAATATTGGGCCAATAATAGTGGTCGGCCGATATTGTCAGACATCCCTACATATATATATATATATATATATGTATATATATATGTATATATAAATATGTATAAATATGCCATCTATAGGCAGGCCATCTAATATATATATACATATATATCTAATCTATAGATATTAGATATATCTAACATATATATGTATATATATTAGATGGCCTGCCTATAGATGGCATATATATACATATTTATATATATGTATGTATGTAGTAGCAGCTAATAGGCTGATTCACCGCTTACTCTCTTATCTGGTTTACCAACAAGACAGGTGTGGGTCAGGAAATATAAACAGGACAGGAGGTGGACTGCTCAAAAGTATACAACAAGTGATTCAATTTATTGTCATTTCTGATTTCTGACTCTGATACTAACAACGCACTGAAATATTTTGTTGTCTCATCACTTGGATTTTCTGTTGTTGGAGACCTAGGGGTCTACCTCCTGGATATTTCATTTTTTGCAGGTAGGGACGTCTGCATATTTGACTCGAACGCGTTATAATCGACAAGCAGAATTGCGTGATATCATTTCTGTATTTTTAATTCATTAAAAATTTAAATATTTTATGGGTGTATCCATGCACAATTGATGGACTCGGAACCGTGCATGCTCACTTTCACTGAGTGTGTCACATGACTGTGGATCTAATTTCACCTCACCCTGTGTCTCTGTGACAGTCATCTCAGTCATCTGAACGTACCGCTTGACGCGAGGCTTGGCTGGAAATGAACAACACGGAACAGGTACAGCGCTGTGATGTCATTGATGTTATGTTATGTTATGTTATATTATGTTATGTTATGTTATGTTATGTTATATTATGTTATGTTATGTTATGTTATGTTATGACATATTATATTATATTATGTTATGTTATGTTATGGTATAACATATTATGTTATGTTATGTTATGTTATGGTATAACATATTATGTTATGTTATGTTATGTTATGTTATGGTATAACATATTATGTTATGTTATGTTATGTTATGTTATGTTATGGTATAACATATTATGTTATGTTATGTTATGGTATAACATATTATGTTATGTTATGTTATGTTATGTTATGACATATTATATTATATTATATTATATTATGTTATGTTATGTTATGTTATATTATGTTATGTTATGTTATGTTATGTTATGTTATGTTATGTTATGGTATAACATATTATGTTATGTTATGTTATGTTATGTTATGGTATAACATATTATGTTATGTTATGTTATGTTATGTTATGGTATAACATATTATGTTATGTTATGTTATGGTATAACATATTATGTTATGTTATGTTATGTTATATTATATTATGTTATATTATATTATATTATATTATGTTATGTTATGGTATAACATATTATGTTATGTTATGTTATGTTATGGTATAACATATTATGTTATGTTATGTTATGTTATATTATATTATGTTATGTTATGTTATGTTATATTATATTATGTTATGTTATGTTATATTATGTTATGTTATGTTATGTTATGTTATGTTATGTTATGACATATTATATTATATTATGTTATGTTATGTTATATTATGTTATGTTATGTTATGTTATGTTATGTTATGTTATATTATATTATGTTATATTATATTATATTATGTTATATTATATTATGTTATGTTATGTTATGTTATGTTATATTATGTTATGTTATGGTATAACATATTATGTTATGTTATGGTATAACATATTATGTTATGTTATGTTATGTTATGTTATGTTATATTATATTATGTTATATTATATTATGTTATGTTATGTTATGTTATGTTATATTATGTTATGTTATGTTATGGTATATTATATTATATTATGTTATATTATATTATGTTATATTATATTATATTATGTTATATTATATTATGTTATATTATATTATGTTATATTATATTATGTTATGTTATGTTATGTTATGTTATGTTATATTATGTTATGTTGTGTTGTGTTGTGTTATGGTATATTATATTATATTATGTTATATTATATTATGTTATGTTATGTTATGTTATATTATGTTATGTTGTGTTGTGTTGTGTTATGGTATATTATATTATATTATATTATATTATGTTATATTATATTATGTTATGTTATGTTATATTATGTTATGTTATGTTATGTTATGGTATAACATATTATGTTATGTTATGTTATATTATGTTATGTTATGTTATGTTATGTTATATTATATTATATTATATTATATATGTAACACATTTACCATGTTAATTTGGGTTAAACAGCATACTGTTTGGTTCCAGGACTGTGTTGCTGGTGTGTACCAGGTTCTCGACATGTCTGCTGGTCAAGAGGTTTCTTCTAAAGAAGTGAGTCTTCTGTACTACATTGTAAAAAGTAAAGTAAAACTACAAAGTAAAAGTGCGCTATACACCACTTTTGAAGCGATTATTGTATTTAGCGTAACAGTGCGATTAATCGCAATTAATCGGCCTATTTTCCGGGCTATAAGTCACACTTTTTTTCATCCTTTAGTTGGGTTTGTAACCATTACTCAGGTGCGACTTATAAGTTAAAATATCAAATTTGACATGTTTGTTATTCTCACACTGACGGCCACTAGAGGGCACTCTAGGTTTGTGTACCGCTTATACTGTATATTGAATGTATCTATCCGTTCCCACTCCAATTCAATTGGAAGAGAGAATTTCATTTTTTTTAAATGAGCTTTTATAAATCTAGACAATGGTGAAATATATTTAAAGGACAAAAAAAAATCTTGGCTTTTTTTTCTCAACAAACTGCCATTTTTAAAAAAATATTTTATTTTCATGAACAGAGAAATACAGTACTTTCTTAAACCAGCAGCGTCTTTCTAATCATCCTTTTGTCACTACATTACATAATGAGGACACAATGGGACAATACCAACTAACATGTCATTTATTTTTCATTTACATTGCATTTTTACTAGGACTACCCAATACTGGATCAACACGATGTAGTATCTACCAATTACACTACTGGCCCAACACTTTGATTTTACTCTTCTTTGTGAAGTACAAAATATTGTACAAATAAACAACCAAGAATATAACTCTTCTAACTCTCATCTTTTTTTTTTATACACACAGGTAGTCAGACTACTGGGAAAGCATGAGCAGAACGGAAACTTGAGAAAAATCACCAGGCTTAAAACAGCTGGTAGGCAGTGCTGGACCAGGTAAACAACAAATTGCTTGTTTTTAAGCTGCAGTGATTGAAAGGCCTTGCTCTAGATTAAAGTGTAGCCACAGGCCTTATTTTTATATTTATATTTATTTAAATATTTATATATTTAAAATGTTTGATTTCACTTTCTAAAAATATGTACATGTCACAAATACATTCCATCAATGTGTGAAACTTTGGCTGGGTTTGCAACCTTTACTCAGCTGCGACTTATATATTAAAATATGGAATTTCACATTTGGCTTATAGAGAAGTGCTCCCTATATATGTGTACAATGTTTTTTTTTTCTTTTTAAATTTAGAGGTTGCCACTCATATTCAGGTGTGCTCAATAGTCGGGAAATTACGGTAGTCTACTCTAATGCACTCTAAACGTCAACGGCGCAACAGAAACAAGAAACAGAGCCGTAGTGTATGAAATGATTGATGTGTCCTGTTTCTACTAGTGATGTGCGGATCGATCCTGAAATATCGATACTTCCGATTCTGGATCTTTATGCTCTGAAATCGATTCTGAAATCAAAATATCGATACTTTTGATACTTACGCATTCTGAGATGAGGTGTATCCTAAACAGAAACATGGTGAAAAGTATCCAAATTATTGAGATGTTGTCTAAGTGACGCTCGGTTGGTGGGACTACTTCTTCTTCCGCCTGGGTGTGTGCGTCATGCGTAAGCACAGGGGCTCTACTCCGTGCTCTCACTCAGTCACTATTGATGGGAATTTCGGCTCTTTTTTGGAGAACCGGTTCTTTTGGCTCGGTTCACTGAAAAAATCCGACTCTTTCGTAAAATAAATAAATAAATAAAAAACTCTGCCTTGGATTCTTAAAGAAGCTATGATTTGAAATACACATTTTTTTTCATTTAAAAGACAAATGATAAAATATCAGTATCGATATCGGTATCGGCGATACCAGCCCGAATTTTACTCGGTATCGGATCGGAAAGGAAATTGGTGGTATCGAACCTCACTAGTTCCTACAACAAACGCACAGTGATTTTAGAAACAAGGGAGACTGGATGAGAAAATGGAAAGGGAGAGGGTGTTTTTTCCCTCCCTCCCCTTTTTTTTTTTTTTTTTTTTTTTTTTTTTTTTTTGGAGCTAATTAGTGTAATCACACTCACCTGTCCTCTTTAGTCTCTTTAGTGATCAGTCTCACTTGTGTCACCTGCTAGCCTGGCTATATATATAACTATTTTTTTTTCTTTTTGGTTAGACTGACATTGGAAGGTGTGCAAAGTATTCTGTCCTCCCCATGGTTGGGACACAACCTTAAGCTCAGAGGTCAAGCCTGGGGCTGTGTCTCCATCGCTGACGTTCTTCTCCTGGTGGATATGAAATACGATGTTGTGAATCGACTGCTTTTCGTGGAAATGCTTCAGGAGCATTACAGTAAGAGAACCCCAACTTTGAACTTGAGTCCTTTCACATAAAGGATTTAGAATAACAGATTCCTCTTTTTTTTTTTTAAATTTGTATTCAAAAGCTCAGAGCTTGTGGGAAACCATGCAGCCCTGGCAACAGCACAAAGAAAAGGAGGAACTTGAGGATCATGCTGTGGAAGCTTTAGAAGCAGGAGACATGCTCCACCTGGCTACGTTGCCAGGGGCATTTAGAATGTACAGGTAACACGTTACGTAACGTTTTAATGCTAAACATTTACTGAAAGTCAGTTTAAAATCTCACACAGTTCACATCCAGGCCTTCGTTGTTGCCAGTGTTTTTGATGATTTTTAATCAGTTTGTCACAATGTTTTTAGAGGAGCAGCATAAAGGCTTAAATACTAAAATGCTTCGATCATTTTCTGTGCCATCTATTGGGGAAACATGCGTATTGCAGGGAAAAGGCAGAAGTATAATGATAATATAAATAAATTATATCATTTGGAAAAGTCCGGTGGGCCGGATTAAAAAGCCAAATGGACCACATCAGGCCCCCGGGCCTTAGTTTGCCCATGGCTGTTATATACAAACTCTCCACAAAACATAAAAAATCATTCCTCATTTACAACTACTACTAATAATAACAATACTTTATTTTATTTCTGCGTTTCAATTTCAACATCAAGTCTGTTTCTCTGAACATTAACGCTAAGAATTGAGCTTGTCGAGCAATGGTTTCTGCATATGTATTAAAGAAAGACACAAGTTATTATGCAAATTATTTTGTTATGTTTCGAGAGTTGAGTTCTGACTGTGCGCTCGTGACTATCAAGTCACAGGACATAAAAATGATTCGTAGGAACTAGGGGTTTCTATTGAGCGATGTAACTCGAATCGATGGGGTACGTGACGATGCTTGTCAATTTTGCACAAAAGATGAAACCTAGCATTTGACGGTTGTTTGCGGGCAGCTTAAAGGAATTTTTTTTTCTTCGGTTTTGGGCTACAATCCGATAAGCGACAGCAACTAGTTCCTGTCCGAACTAGTTGGTTGTGTTTGAACATTGTACATTGGAATGATGGAACAAGATTTCATATATCAAGGTTGCCAAAAAACCGGTAGCTACGTACTTCTCAAATAGTGAGTCAGTTGGTGTATGGCATGTATGAGTCACTAGGTGGCAGCAACTCATACATTTGTTTGTACAGATAAAAAATATACATGTTATCAGGTTGTAAATAGTATTTCAATTTGCGGTGGGTGTGGGTCTGGGGAGGGCATTTCTGTGTATATAACTCTGTATATTCAAAATATATATGGCCCTACATATTGCCATAAACAAACAAAAAAAAAATCACATATGTATCTTATGCAAATTAAATAAAAGCTATAAATTCCCTTTTTTCTCTCTCTCTCTCTCTCTGCAGGGTCAATCTGGGAGCTGAATTCAGAGAAGAGTCATGGTCTGCGGTGTCATTACTCTGTGACATTTACATATATCGAGAACAAGAAAGGGACGAGCTTACTGGCCTGGGAGAGTGGTGCGTATTTCGCAGATATCATTTATTTGGTAGCATTAACCCTTTGATGCATGACCCATGATTTACTGAGTTAAAAAAAGTGTTTTTAGACATAAAAATAAGAAGTGATTTGGTTCTGTTTTTATACACCAAATTTTCTTTTTGAATGTTGACACAATTATTCTGCAGTTGCAAAGGCTGTCCACTGTATGGCAGTGTTGGGTGATTCTCAGGCGTCCACTCTAGAGGCTTATATGCAACACTGCCATCAAAACCTATTCTTTATCATAGAAAATGACATTTTCATAGCTGTCCACTGTAGTGACCGTCATGCATGAAAGGGTTAAAAATGATTTGTATGTTGACAATTCACCAGCAACTTGGTCATGTCCCACAAAGCTGAAGCCATGCACCCAGTCTTGGTTTTGTCGAAATTCACGGCATGCATATAAGCATGTGAAGATATTTGTCGGTTTCATAAAATACATTTGTGAATCGTCTAACGCGCATTTAAAACGCGATTTTAATTTGTGGCTTTTTGAGACTTCTCTAGCAGTGACCAGATACACAAATGCATTTTTTTCGACATGGGGCCCCGTCAGCAGCCAATCAGATGTCTCGTTCATTTGCAGCCAATCGCACGCTTGCACAGTATCTCCATGAGGGGCCTTATGTAACGTTACTACACTGCGTTACTATAGTACAGAAATTACGTTAGCTAAACTGGTGGATGGTTGTTGCAATCTGTAAATGTGCCCCGGACCATTATCGGGATGAGTGACTTTTTTTTTTTTTACTTACTTCACAGGCTCGACAGGGAAAGTCTGAAGGTACTTTGCCTTTACGTCATGGTGGCGATGCTTAAGGTTTGCAGAGAAAAAGTGTCTTACAGTGCTCTTTTGGCAGCAAGGCAGTCCTGGAAGGCATGGTGAGTAACTACGTCCACTTGAATTAATGAATTATCTCAAGGTCTTTTGGTATGTCGTTTACTTGTGGTGCACTGTACTGTGTCTATTCAGGCCACAGGTGAGTAGCCCAGGTCGAGAAGAACAGGCGTCTTTGTGGCTATGTGGTGAAGATGAGCATAGCGAAAACCTGATGTCAGCGTCTCCACAGCAGGTACTGTCATTTGTTGAACAACAGTGCGTTATACTTGAGAGCAGACGCGTCTGCTGCAGAATGAGGAGGAAAACAAAAAGGAAAAAGGAAAAAAACCTTCATCTTCGTACCAACAGGCGGAGCTGCAGCTGCTTGCCTTGACTCAAGATCTGGAGAAAAGGCAACTGGTCAAACTATTGCATGAGATCTCATTGGATAATCTGGAGGGTAAGAAGTTCTTATTGGCTGAATTTGATCACATATTATGCGTCATTTGTTTCTACCTCGAAGTGCAAGAATACTTAGCTAGCTTAGATTAGCAGGCTAAAGTGCTCAAATGCTTTTAGCCTTTTCTACTGGGGAAATGTGGGCATTGCAGGGAAAAAGGCAGAAGTAGAATTATAATTATGTAAATTAATAACATCATTTGGATACGTTTGGTGGGCCAGATTAAAAAAGCCAAGTGGGCTGTAGTTTGCCCATGCCTGGTTTAAACTTTAGCAGATTATCCATGTTGGTGAGATGCCCGCTCTAAATGCATGCAACGGTGTGGTCGTTATCGTCGTCTGACTTGACCTTGTTTGACATCACGAAGTGGCCAGTAATTGAATGTTCTTTATGGATGTTTTTCGTTTGTAGAGAATCAGCAGCTGACTGCTTTAAGAAATGTATGTACCGAAAGGCTGAGACAAATCCAGAGCGGCCAGCAGAGAGGCACTGAGTATGGGACGCTCGCGGAGAACGCTAATGCCGAGGCTAAACTACACCCTCGGCCACAAATACCCACCGGCGTGTGCCGAGAAGGAGTACTGCGGCCCCAATACGCCCTGCGGGAGTGCGCCATGCTCCTTTTGACTCAGTTGCAGCAAATCCATGATGTCAAAGCTGTTGCGTTACTGCAACAGCTAACGCATAAGGTTAGCCACCAACCAGTGGTATCTAGTCCAGGCGAGGGCAAACGTTTTGACTCGCAGGCCACAGTTGTCCTAAAATTGAACAAGGGGGGAGGGAGGGGAGGGGCGGGTCAGGAGCAGATAGATGGAGGGTTTGTGTGAACTAAAATAAATGACACGTTTAACGTCACCTAAAGGCGAAAATCCTTTAAGCCATCGAAGACAACTGTGGCCACATTCTTCGCATTCAACATTCATTCAACATCCATTTCCACTGCTTCGCGGATGACACCCAGCTCTACCTCTCCTGTAAACCCAACTCCACACTCCCCCCCCCCTCCCTCACCGCCTGCCTCTCTGAACTGAACTTCCTGGTTCACTGCAAATTTTCTCAAATTAAATTGCAACAAAACTGCAACAAAAATACTCATTTGGTCAAATTCACAGTGGGCCAAAATTAAAAAAAACTGGGACAAAGTCACGGGACCAAACTCAATTGTTATAGGAAAAAATTGACTGGAAATTGCGCACGTTTTCCCTTCTCTCCCGATCTGTAATGTTGAGTTCTTTCATATGGAAACAAACTTTAGTTTTGCCTAAACTTTGAATCTGGAACGACCCAAGCTTAATCTTATAAACAGATAAATTAAATTTGGAAAAAATCCTTTTTAATGTAAATCTTATTTTCACAGGCCGACAACAACAAAAAAAAACAAACAAAATCTATGCGTTATAACATAGCACATACATCGCTAACCTTAACCATGTGCTTAAAATATGTTGTTAATGAATGAATTATTGCTCTTTGGTGTCTTTCAGAACAAGAAGCGTTTCCAGAATACGCAGAGTGAGAATGAATCCAAACTTCTGATGGAGGTCAAAACCGACTTGCTCCAAGTCCTGAGCACAGGACACCACCTTACTTCAGACCTAATGTCCTCCGGCAATGGCACAGACCAGATCCAGGGCTCAGGTTCTGGGCCGGCTTTTAGTTTATCAGTTGCATCAGACCAAAAGACAGATGGAGAAATAAATGTCCAGGCGTCCGCTGATGAGACCGCCAAACTACAGGTCCGCAAAGGTACCACGAGCACAACCAAATTGAATAGTGTGTTAAAGATTTGCAATATTCACGTTTCCCCAATAGATGGTGTAGAATTTTAGGACCCCGTGTTCAATTTTAGGACAATTGTGACCTGCGAAACAAAAACGTTTGCCCAAACTTGTCTTAGCCTGCAATCAAGATGCACCAGCGCGGATACAATTTTATATGTTGTTAAGTGCAAGAATACAGTTGTTTAAGATTGAGATCTGATGCTTTATTGATAATTTTTGAATCATTTTCCATTTTTTTTATCAGTAATTTTTTTTTACATTTTCTAGTGTGCAACTACAATCTACTTTTTTTTTTTTTCTCTCTCTCTCTCTCACACAGATTGTGGCTCTGACATGGAGGAAATGCCATATTTGGAGATTCTGTGTGTTCCAGATTCAACAAGTGAAAGACACCGGAGTTCCACCATAGAAGAGCACGGGACCCGGAAAGAGTCCGAAGACAATTCGGCAGGTCTCCAAACATATGAGAAACAGGGCTCTTTGATAACATTTGCTTGGAGCAAACAGCCATACGAAGATGAGGCCAACGAAACCGAAGAAACTGTAGTAGTAATAGAGCAGAGTCGGGATAGGGAGAGCGGAGTGGAGACGCTTCAACAAAAAGACAAATCTGAAGAAGTTTGTGATGAGCGTTTTAACGTCGGTCCGGAAAGGTGTGTGCCCACAGGTCCTCTTGAAGCAGACGAACAGGTACTTTTCCATTTTATTGAACATTACAGTATTATGAAACCTAACACCACTCAACTTGTTTTTTCCCGCCCGATTTATCAACATCTGACATCACAGGTTCTTAAAGAGCGAGCAATGGAACCCATATCGGCAATGGTGAGGGAGAAGACGATACAAAACCTGGTGGACATACAAAGGAAGGTTGAACAGAAACAGCAGCGGGAGAAGGAGCGACAGCTGCTCAGGGTGAGAGAGACGTGTGGAGGTATACTCACCGTATTTACCGGACTATAAAAAGTAGCACTTTTTGTCATCCTTCGGCTGGGTTTGCGACTCATACTCTAACTTACTCGCAACTTATATATTAAAATGTATAATTTTGCGTAATTTATTTAGACCGACAGCCACTAGAGGGCACTCTAGGTAGTAGCTGCTACTCCTGTACCACTGAAAATGAACATTTTTGCTTTTTTCCCCCGGCCAGCCGCTAGAGGGCACTCTAGTCTTGTGTACCGGTATCTGCTACTCCTGTACTACTGAAAATGAACATGTTCGCTTTTTTAAACTGACAGCCGCTAGAGGGCACTCTAGTCTTGTGTACCGGTATCTGCTACTCCTGTACTACTGAAAATGAACATGTTCGCTTTTTCACACTGCCAGCCGCTAGAGGGCACTCTAGGCTTGTGTACTGGTATCTGCTACTCCTCTACCATTGAAAACTTACGTTTGTTATTTTCACACTGACAGCCGCTAGAGGGCACTCTAGTCTTGTATCTGCTTCTCAAGAGCACGAGTTGCAAGCAAGTGCAACAATTGTATCCTCTTTGCAATTGGTTTTTAAGTAGTGACGCTAACATAAGATTGAGAATTTAGATGGCGGTGGTTTACTTCGTTGAGCTTGTTCAGGACCGTAGTTATTCGTGTCTGATGACTGCGCACGTGCAGACATTTGTTGTCAAGTAAAGGGCAACTGGACTGACTGTCATACATTTGTTTTAACCCTTGTTGTTGTCGTCCTTTGGGTCTAGGTGACCCTTGGTGTGTACAAAATGCGAAGGACAACGGGAGGGTTAAAAGTTTAACCCTCCAAACAATGGTGTTGGTGCGACTGGAAACATTGAGAAGTCATATTGTAGTCGTTTTCTATGCTCGGGGTGACAAGCTGACGGTACATTTTAGGACTGCTGACTGAATGAGGAAAGAATTCCATTCCACTGAACTGCCTGTCACGGGTGACATCTGCTCTGTTTAGCTGCAATAGCTTTTCGAGTTATGTTGCTGGTGAGCCATCCACATTTAAATGATAGAAGAGACTTGCTACACAGGCAGAAAACCGTACCGGAGCATACATTTATTTTACTTGCTACACAGGCAGAAAACCGTACCGTAACCGTTTTTTTTAACAATAAGATACAAACGTACATTGATTTGTAATATGGGAATGCATGGATTTTTCCATATTCTTCTTTCAAACCTGTCATGTTGAAGCGTGAGTTGGTTCTACAGGAGCTGTTAAAACGCTCTTTATGTACGGTTGTGCTCGGCATGGCTGATAATAAAGACCCCAACTTCCCTGACGCATGCGGCTTATAGAAAAACGAAGCCTACATGTGTACAATTATTTTTGGTTCTCATTCAATTTAGTTGGTGCGGCCTTAGTCCGGAAATTACGGTAGAACTTCGAAATGAAAACAATCAGTGCCCAATCAATCAAAATGTTTTGAATTATTTATATGTTATGTAGTTAAATATCTTTAGTTTAAGAGTCAAATGTTTCAACATCGGTGTTAACATAACGTAAGAACGACGGCATTCAGTGGCATACAGTCGTTTTTAGACATGTAAAAAAAAAAGTTGATAATGTTGTCCTCACAACATTATCAATTTTTTCTCGTGTTGACCAGTAAAAGATACAAAAGACTTGTCATTCATCCACTGGTATTGGGTAAAAGTATTTATGAAGTCTAACATCTACAACGTCCTCGACTAAGGTGGTGAATTACAGTGGGGCTTCGCGATACGAGTTGAATGCGTTCCACAACAGCACTCGCGTGTCGATCCGCTCGTATCTTGATTGCATTTTCCCCATTAAAAATAACTAAAAAACCAATTAATTTGTTCCAGCCCCCCCAAAAATATACTATTAATCAGAGGTGTGGACTCGAGTCGCATGACTTGGACTCGAGTCAGACTCGAGTCATCAATTTGACGACATTAGACTCGACTTGACAAAATGTAAAGAGACTTGCAACTCGATTTGGACTTTAACATCAGAGACTCGTGACTTCACTTGGACTTGAGCCCTTTGACTCGACATGACTCGAGACTTTCTCCAAAACCCAAAGTGATCTGTGTAAATGTATTTTGTTATTTTGTTTGAAAAGGACTCGAAAGGACTCGAAACAGAAACGGCAGGACTTGGGACTTGACTTGACACTTTTCAGTCTTGACTTGGACTCGACTTGGACTTCGCCTGTCTTGACTTGAGACTCGACTCGGACTTC